CCGCGACCCGAAAGGAAAATCAGCGATGGAAGATGAGGATGAAGAAGTAAAATAAGTTCATAAGTAAATTGTTCAGTAAGTTTCGGCAAGAGTTAAGGAAAGAAAGAACTGCGATCTTCCTTCCACTTCCCTTCCCTTCTCTCCACTCTCCATCAGCATCAAATATGGCCTCGATCCTCTTGAAATCGCGCAAAAATTTAACGTCACAACGTGGTTCGGGCAAAGGTCAATGGTCCTCGAATAGATCATCTTCTTCTTGTTCGTTATAATCCTTCTCTCCCTTATGCCATAATCAGGTTCACGACCCTAACCGCAATTCTGAAAGTAATTTGCAAAGGCCGACGATACCTTGACGTCAAAGTATTAGAATATGATGTACGGACTGAATGATGTTCATTTCGATACTGCTCGATTGACCATCGCCTGATTCGATGTGGCGAAAAGCTTCTGCGTAAACCGCGAATAAGCTAAATTTAATAGGGACTAAAGAGAGTTAACTGACTTTAGAAACGACGTTAAAAACTTCTAAGTCATTCCATGCCTTCGTAATAACGTACACTTCAAAGAATCATTAATCATTATAAAAGTGTTTTTTCGCTTTTTCAATGTTAGCTGCTTCATGTGCAGTTACTGCGCTTAGAAACTGAGGAGACACTGATGCATGTTGAACTGAATAAGAAATTGATTTGCTGAAGCGACAATTACAATCCAAATGCTTTGAACTCCATAAACCGAAATGATCATTGTATGCCTTACAACTGATCACTTTCTATGAAGCATTAATTTGCTGCATTTTGTCTGAATCAATTCCCAACCTTCCGTAGCAGTGTTGAAGTTGTTCAGTGGTAATAACTGACCCATTAAATGACTTCTTCATCGGCAAATGATATAAGCATTTCAGAAAATTCTAACGCTTGCTTGAAACCTGCTTTACTTATCCATCGCAATTCTTAGAAGCCACATCGACCTTACTATCCTTCAAAAACAGGTTCGCCCACTGCGTTGTTTTCAGTTACTTGAACAGCCCATTATGGGACAATTCTAAATGACTGACAATAGAATCATCAGTGCGGTATAAATGCTCTCCTGGCGTTTTTAAAAGTTGCTATGGGACGTGCACGAAACGTCAGGCGAAAAGATGCATACGATATGACAGATCGAGGTTGCACCATGCATTTCAGCTTCTATAGCACTAAAGTGGGGATGGGCTCAAAGTTTGCTTCATTTAATCGATCAGTTTATTTTCACCATTTCACAGAATTCTTGTCAAAATCTTCATCCGGGTCTGCAGACTAGTACGGACAGAACACGAAAAATAAAGACATTATTTACCTCGATAAGTCTGAACTTCGTGATCAACTTTGATAAAGTTTCTGCGCAGAGACTCTTCTTTGTCCAAACCGAGCTGCTGCACCTGCTTCCAAAGAATTTTCAATTTTTTGTCCTTCGGCTGAAACGCGTTGCTTCTGGTCTGCTTTTTCGCCGTCAAGCCCGCACGATCCCTGTCGGTGTCTTTCATCACTCGTATGCTGTCCAGTACCTTTTCCAGGTGGTATTCGGTCAGCAAGCCGGTCACCTTGTCGTCGATACTTTTTGTGAATAGCGATGAGCCGTCCTTAGCCAGCATCGTTCGATGCTTCGACTTGATGAACTCCTTGTCCAGATCAACGAGACGTGATAGAAACGTCTGCTTCTGGTCCGGGTTCAAACGTCTGGACGCCTTCTCCCAAATAAAGTTGAACATTTTGGCCCTAAACGGGCCTTCACCAGTCTTTTGGCCCTGATTGTACTCTTCACTGTACATGTGACAACAGCACGTCAAAACACAGGAGACCAGAAAAATGCAAACCCAGTCGATACGCATCGCTTCGGCAAGTCTGAGGCAAATAATTTGTTTAACTTCCAAACAGACAGCAAAGCAAAAGCGAATTTTCCGCGAAACTCCGGCAAGTAATTTTTAAACTGAAAAGATCTACAAGCGAAGTAACGGCAAGGACAATTTTGACTAAGCTTCCTTCGGATGAAACAGCAAAATCAAAACTAGGCCTTAACAAGTGGCTGTGCATCTTTCAGCCAATTTTCATCCCCTTAATCATCCTTGTCGTAATCATACGTTAATGGCAACGGGGAAAGAAAACGACGCGGGTAGAAAGCGACCGAAAGGAACTTCTTGAGACAAATCGCTACGTTTACGGTTCTCGGCAGTATTCACATTCCGCGATTAGGAGATCCTCCCGCCTATCTCTCAAGACTGATATATCAAAACGATCTGAGTGAGTGAATTTTGTGGATGGCTCTGAAAGGATGCAGCAGCGGCAGTTCTCGTTTGACAGACGGGTAGAAAGTTTAGAATGTCCTGGCATATCGTACAATCCTGCCCCCTGACTCTAGATACCTTCTACCAAATCACAGACCTTGACGGAAAACCGCGAATGTTGGCCCACTGTCTGACCTGCTTATTCCAGTGACGAAAAATTATCGATCTAAGCAATTTAATTCGCTAATTTCCCGCTTTTACTTCTATTAGACAGCTCACTATATAGTTAACATGTGATTACTGATTAGACATAACGCAAAACCTAGATTCGGTTAGCAAATCCATAATTCAAACGTTGTACTCACTGAATGACATACTGTTAAAACCCATTTCATAAAAAACGCTTATTGGAGTGAAAAACCGCTCACTAAAATTTCAACCAGTCGCAAAAATAAGCGAGAGAGTTCGCAGCGTTCTTGTTCAAACCATGAAAATCTGGCATGCCAATCCAATCAGCGCTGAATTGGCTAGTTAAAGAACAGAAGTTCGAATCACCCTCAGGTAGCCTGTCTTGCATCCTTCTGATATAGAGTTAACAAGTATCACTACCTTCTGGACGCGCACTTCTCAGTGGAGAGATGAAACGAGAAAGTTGATTAAGTACCTCGGCTTTCATAACCTTCAACGGCAGTACCATCTGATAAGAGTTTAATGTGGCGATCGCCACTGCTCTCAAGATTACTGATGACCGCAAAATATTTAGGCTGCTGTGTTATAACCGTCTATAAGGTCAACTGGGTATATTTATTTCCATAAAAATGCCCATTATCTTGCGTTGATAGAAGTCAGAGGTGCCGTTCGTACAGTATGATGTCCATCGCGGTAAGAAGAGACCACGAAAAATGACTTAACAAGTTATACAGTGCTAAATTGATGGCTCTGACGCACAATAAAAGTAAACGGCAGGTGCATGTAAGGTATAACTCTATTTGCTTCTGGGAAGAGGTATAACCCATATCTGCAAACACGAGAAAGGATTTTGGCACTTAGAAAATTTAGTTTAGCACAAAACACTTCATTCCGCGAGTTTCTGCTGTACGGATCGAAATATGATAAACAGTGACCAGGATATTAGCTTGCGCATGCAGTATAGATAAAAAAACGAGACAGACACGTGCTGGGCGAAGACTATTCCTTCTACAATACAGTAACATAGAGCAGTGATAAAGTACGGGGACAATCCTATATAGCAATTTTCCTGTAGTAGTTTGATCACTCAGTTGTCATGACCTCTTTTTCCTGATGAACAACCATTTCCAGAACATAACTAACTCTAATATTCCCTTCAAGTTGTTTAATTCGCTTTAGCTCGCCTGACGAACTGACAGAAAGTTTCAACATAGATGTCATGTCCACTTCATAAGGGTATAAGTATAATTAGAATAATTTCTGAAACTTCACAGAGAAAGCTACCAACCGTTCTAATAACCGGCCTGACGAAAATAACAGGTGCATCGGACTAAGATAACCACTGAAAATGAACTATTAAATAGCTTCAAGCCCATGTTCCAGCCATGCGATTATTTGTTCAGTGACTTATACAGTGTATATAATATTAGTTTACTGATTTATTTATTCATCCTTTCAAAATACATGTCATCTACGATGAAGAACGAAAACTCGCGTAATATAAAGCTCCGATCAGATCCTCAGGTTTAACCCTTCAGGTTATCGGCAAACATCGCAGAAGATGCACACTACACTGATTAAAATAAGCATGGATATCTGTTTGATCAAAAAATTGATAATCTCAGTCGACTTGACACCGCAGTTTCGAAAGAACTATAGGCTGTTAATTAGGCAATCGAGAAATGACGGCTTGCTATACAATGACATTATTGGCATCAGCTGACTCACAAAAACCCCTGCCACAGACATTATCAGATTCGATCATGCTCATCGCAAAATTGCGACAGACATTTATTTTCCACTGCACTAAATAAATGCGCAGAATAATACGTTATGCCATATGGACAGAGAACGACAACCATTCCTGATGGGACAGCAGTGTGCAATGACAAATCAATGCATCAAACAATCAAAGCACCTTTTAAGCAACATGTAATCCAATGAACATATGGAGCTAACAGTCACATTTCAACAGTTATGGACGACATCTAGCGGACTACCCGAGTGAAAAGCGTAGAGCGGCCACGGTCAACAAGTACACCAGAAACTTAAACATAGATTCCCTCCTATAAGTGCAATAATAATATTAATAACAAGTAAGAATAATAAAAATCATATATCATTTCTTTATGCGGGAGATGATATAATCTTTTGGTAAATCACGAACGAGAAGACTACGCATAAAATGTTCTTTAATTAGAGACATCTGACGTTTCGGACCAAACTCGGTCCGTCTTCAGAGTACA